GAAGATACCAAAGTGGATGAAATGCTGGACAGAGAATGAATTCAAAAGATTTTTAAAGGATCCATGAGTTCAAAGAGGATACGAATAAATAGTTGAATGAGTTAAGGAAGAAAAAGCAGTATGTGAAAGAATCATTCAATAAATATGAATAAACAGTTGAATGAATTAAGGATGAAAAAGCAGTATGTGAAAGAATCATTCAATAAAAAGGGAGTTGCTCAAGAAAAACCAAAGAAAAAAATCTCAGCTGAAAGTTGCACCAAGGGGCTGCTAGCACAAGCAATGGAAAGAATACTGAGATTAAAAGTGCTGATATATTATCACAACCAGAGAGTAATAAATGAAAAGGGAAATTGTGAACAACGTACATAAGATCTATGGGATATGACTAAAAGACCAAACGTGGGCCTGTGAGATGGCTCAGCAGATAAAGGTGCTTGCCATCAAGTCTAATGACCTGTGTTTGATCCCTGGGATGATCCCATGGTGGAAAGAGAGATCCAGCTCCACAAAGTTGTCCTCTGATTGCCACACACATGCAAAATAAATAAATGAATGTTAAAAAAATAAAACAAAAGACCAAACATGAATAATCCGTACACAAAGGAACACCAGTATAGGATAAAGACATATAAATCATGGTGAAGTAATAGCAGAAGCAATCCTGGAAAAGATGTGGGCCTCAAGGTACAGGATGCATTTAGAACCCCAAATAAACACAGCCAGAAAAGAACCTATCTACATCATAATTAAACTGCTAAGGGCATATAGCAACAGCAGCAGCAGCAACAACAACAAAAAGAGTCCTGAGCACTGCAAGAGAGAGTCACTCCATCTCTTATAAAGACAGAGCCTCGGGGCTAGAGAGATGGCTCAGCAGTTAAGAGCATTGGCTGCTCTTGCAGAGACCCAGGTTCAGTTCTCAGCACCCCTATGGGTTAACAACCATCCATAACTCCAGTTACAGGGGATCCAACACCCTCTTCTGCCCTCAATGGACATTGTATGCATGTGATGCACTTACATATATGCAAGCAAAATACTCATACACAGAAAACTGATCAATTAAAAAATAAAGACAAAGCCATGAAAGTAATAGAAGCAAAGGTTAAAAGGATATGGAATGCCATATTATAAGTCCTAAAAGAAAATAATTGGCAACTTAGATTACTGTGTCAAAGCAGTTATTTTCATAATCAAAATATAAACAATTAGCCATTCTAGGATAAGCATAAATTAAGGAAACTAATAATCACTAAAGCCAACATTACCAAAGATACTTAGGGGAATCCTACGCAGCAAAGAGGAGTTACACACAACCAGAAATACAAACACAATGAGGACAACACGGGGAAGAATAAATCTCACTAGAAGAATAGACAAGCAAATGAGAATTAGGAAAGAATCAAAACTGATTGACTAAACCATCTAACCTCTACGATAAAAGAGAAATAAATGAACAATTATTCAAAACAGCCAAAGAAAAACAACAGAATGACAGAATCTAATATATATGTTTTGACAATAATTCTTAATGTAAATTATCTTCATTCTCCAATTAAAGAAAGCTGTGTCTGACTGAATGAGAAAACAAGACCCAAACCAAGTATGGGGGCGCATGTCTAGAATCGCAGCACTCAGGATAATGAGGCAGAAAGAGCACAAGTTCAAAACCAGAGTTGGATACACAGAAAAACCTTGTCTAAAAATATAATAACAAAGACACAACAAAGGCTGGTAAGATGGCTCAGTGGTAAAGGAAATTTCTGCCGAGACTGTCGACCCAAGTTTGATCCCTGGACCCACATAGTGGAAGGAGAGAACTGGCTTCTGAAGTTGTCTTATGACTGACACACACGTACATCAATCAATCAATCAATCAATCAATAAATAAATAAATAATAACAAGAAACAACAAAAAACAAGACCCCAACAATTTACTGCCTGTAAGTAACTCACGCCACTGGTCAAAACATACAGACTGAAAGTCAAAGAACAGAAAATGACATCCAAGCAAGTGGAGTACCAAAGCAAGCAGGAACAGCTGTGCTAATATTCAGCCACACAGACTTCAAGACAAAGTCAGTAAGAAGGGGCTGTACTGAGCGCGACTGCACAGAGGAATGCCGCATGGTGATGGTTGAATTAGGAGTCCTTTATTATTGCTTAGCTAGCAAGTCATCAGTCAGAGAGGAGGCTCATGCCCAAGAGAACTCTTGACCCTGAGGAGAAGCAGGGCAGGGTTTATAAAGCTTAAAACCACAACTATATCATCATGACAGGGGTAAAGCTAATAACTATAGTTATATAGTTACATAGTTATCACCATAGTTACACCAGACAGGGGCAGGTCAATTAACAAAGAGATTTTCAATTAACAAAAGGTTTTGGTTAAGAAAAAACAAGTTTCTCAGAATGCAGAAACAATGGGCTCCATGGAGACGCAGGTATAGCCGGGAGGGAGGACGTGCTATCTGGTCATGCTGCCTGGCTACATGTGAGTTTCAATGTTCCTATATGTAGAACAATGTACTCCCTGAAACCACCTGCATGAGAAGTTCTGCCTGGCTGCCTACAATGGGGCAAAAACAGAGGGTAAAGCAACATTCAGCTAGAGAAAAATGGAGTGAGTTTTGCCATTTCAGAATGAGGTCACTCCCTGTTGGTAAAGGGAGCAATCTGTGAAGACGATATAACCCTAAGTATAAATGCACCAAACATGACAGTACTTAGTTTTACAAGATGAAGATTACAGCACACAAAGGGAGAAACCGACCACAATACATTCATAGTGAGTGATTTCAATATTCCACTCTCATCAATACATAAATTATCCTGACCAAAAAAATCAACAAAGAAACATAAGTGTTATATTACACTTTAGATCAACTGGATTTAACAGGCATCTCCAAACTCTTCCATCCAATAACAGAAGTACATCAGCTCATGAGACTTTTTCCAAAATGAATCATAAAGCAAATCTTAATACAAAATAATGCTAATAATTTCTTGTATCTTATCAGATCATAATTGAATAAAACAAAGAATGACAGCAAGAGACTCCAAAGAAAACATTCAAACATATAGGGACTGGACAATATGATTTTGAATGAATACTCTGTTTTCTCTCATATGTGAAATCTAAAACACACACACAACTCAAAAGTAGAAGAGGGCCAACTGGGATGGAGAAGGGGCAAGAGCACATGGGGAGGGTGAGTACCATCAAAACATGAAATGTGCATGTACGGAAATGTCACAGTGAAGCCCACCGAGGTGACAACTACTCTGCCTTAATAATTATAAATGCAAAGGTAAAAGGAGGGAAAGGAGGGTAGGTTGGACTTGACAAAAATCCTAAAATATTTATGGATCGTTAACTTGTGGAATTTTCTATTTAGTTTTCAGGCTACAGTTGATCACAGAGAGTGGAAACCATGGATAAGGCAGGCACTATCATTGAACTGGTAAGTAGGCCTTAGCTTCCTAGGAAGGTTAGCTGGTCAGAGCAACGTTCATTTGGCAAATGTTCCCTTGAGAGGAAGAGGCTCAGGGCACTCTGGGTGTGACCACAGGGTCCATCATAGCCACAGTAACACAGATGGTCTTGCCTTTACCTCACAATCAGCGTTCCTTCCAGGGAACCCAATAGGAGGTGAATCTTCACAAGTAGAAGATGCATTTCCCATTGAAATTACTTCTTTTTTTAAAAAAAAAAATTCATTTATTATGTTTTTTATTTTATGTGTATGTATGTATTGCCCACATGTAAGTGCACCTGTGTTATGCAATGCCTGCGGAGGACAGAAGAGACTGTCGGATCCCCTGGGACTGGAGTTATAGACAGTTGTTAGCTGCCATGTATGTGGGTGCTGGGATTTGAACCCAGGTCTTCTGCAAGAACAGTCAGTATTCTTATCTGCTGAGCCATCTCTCCAGCCCTTGAAATTACTTTTACATGATCAACAAAACGTAGATATCACAGTCCAGGTCTATAACCAAAGTTCCCAGATGAAGCAGTCAAGGAAAAATGTAAGGAGCGAGTGGAAGCATGTGAGCATGCACACGTGGTCAGTACTAACGAGCCACATGCTGAGTACAGATGGATTTGGCCAGTCTAGGTCCTGATTCACAGTAGCTCAGGGGTAGCTGCAGACCCTTTGTCCAGCTATAAGTCAAGGCATGCTCATCTGCTAGGGTTGAGGCATTCCAGAACACACCTGGAAGTCAGATCCTCTCACCGATGAGCCTGTTTCCAGGTTATTAATGTTTGCTTCTCTGAAGACGGCAGGCAGACAAGAAAGTTTGTAAGAGAAACTCTGAACTATACTAGGCTCATCAGCTTTGAGACTGGCTCCAAAGATGGAAAAATGTCCCAGGACCTCCTTTGTATCAGTAGCACCTTCCTGTGGCCCCAATAAAGAGGTGGCCAGGAGTGAGGCCTGATCACCTGTCCAGGCTATAGGAGTTTCCTTTCTGACTCAAACAGTGACTCTCTCAGACCTGCAGCAGCCATGACATTTCCATGGTCTGGGATCTGGGACCCACATGTCATTGAGAGAAGGTATGGGACAGGGACCTGCTAATTGCCAGTGTGCTCTGCAGGTTCCCAGTCCCAGAACCCACATAATTACCCATCCCTTCCTCACCAGTGTGGGGAGCCTGTTCCCACAAGAGCTCAGGCGTGCACTGTGGTGAGGGTGAGGTGGGGTGAGACTACAGTGTCAAGGTGCAGGCTTGGGTGGACCCTGTGGAGACAAAGCACATCCTCAGTTCCTGTTCTTGGGGAGAAAGGCCCAGCACTTTAGTTTAGGAGACCCTGCCAACAGGAAATCCACAGGACCAAGGTGGGATATACAATCCTCCCAGGGTCCATTGGCCAGAGCAGGAAATTGGCTGGGGCTCTGCCTTTTAGCTGAGCAAACAACACATTTCTCAAGAGGGTGAGGCTCCAGCCCTGGGTATATGAAACCCTCAGCACTAGGCTTTGGGAAGCTTGTCTTGGGTTCCAGGAGCATCTTCTGAGTCCCTCTCCACCATGAAGCTCACCATCACCTTCTTGCTGTTTGGCATGGCCCTGCTCAGTGATTCTGGTGAGTATCCTCAGGGCTTACAAGTCATAGGAAGGACCTGCCATTAGTACCTGCTCTTTCCTGGCCCTGACTCCAGCCAGTCCTGACCTTACAGCCTCCCACTCTGGACACCGGTTGCTTCCACTGGCCCTACAGAGGGGCCTCGAGAGGGACCCAGATGCTTTTCTGCTTATCCTTCCCAGAGGGATCCCTCTCGCTCTTCTTCCTGCAGCCATTGAGGCCTTCTGCTGCTAGCCCCATCTGAGCCCCCCAGCTGCATCAAGTATACCTACCCACCTTCAGCCTTTCTTCGCTTCACTGACCACCACCAGGCTCTCTCCAGCCTCAGGCTGATGGCAGGTGTCAGCCCCGGCTTGGAAAAAGCCATCTGTTCTCAGCCTGGTCACTGTCCCCTCCTCCTTCAAGGCACAGTATGAATATCCCCAACTCTGAAAAGCCTACCTACCCTCAAGCCTACCAGAGATCACCTGTCCTTCCTCCACCATGAGGCCATCTCCTATGGCTTTCTTGCAACAATCTCCTTCCTGGGCCCTCTATGTGGCCACCTTTCCTCACTTCTGTGTCTTCACAACTTGTCACAGGGCAGCCACCAGTCAGGAAGTGGGTAGGTGGCTCGGGATGATGAACAAACCGTGCCATCCCCCTTGGGCACTCCCCGGAGTTGGGTCTTCAGGACCCCTGTAGAGACACCAGGCTCTCTGCTTGTATGTCGGCAGGTGCTGCTTTCTTTGTGGATTCAGTGGCCAAATCAGTGGCTGAACCTGTGGGGGCTCTTGCACCAGCTGCAGAAGCTGTGGCTGGGGCTGTGCCCAGCGTACCCTTAAACTACTTCAACCTCCTGAAGTTCATACTCGCCGGCCTGGGCATCCCAATGGATCACCTCATAGAGGGTTCCAGGAAGTGTGTCACCGAGCTGGGTCCTGAGGCCGTGGGGGCCATCAAGACACTGCTGGTAAAATGGGCACCCCTCCCCAGCCATCCTCACAATCATATAGGAGGCAGCCCAACCCAATCAGGGAACCTTTGCTTCCTGTCCTGCTCCAGCAAGCTCTTAGGCGTGGGAGGTTGTGAAGAGCCCGAGGAGTTCTTTATAATGTACTTTTCACAAAAGCCTGCCAGCAGGCCACTTTATCCCAGGGCCCACTCCCCATCTGCTTCACCGAAATCCTCCTTAGAACCAGCAGCTTGCCTTCCTGGTTGAGTAATCTCAGGGACCCAGGACCTCTCCTCCTTAATTCTTGGGGGCAGTGAGGGAGCACTCTCAAGCTTTGCTTCTCTTTTCCAGGGGACCCTGACTCTACTTGGTTAAGATGAGCCTGGAGAAACCCCACCAGAGGACAAGATGCTGCCCTCCAACGAGGGCTGGAAACCCTGCCGCCTGGTCCTGATGCCCATGCCCTTCCCTCTGTCTTGCTTAATAAACATGGCTAGAACAGGTTTGCAGTTGATGTCTTCCTTCCTCAAAGAAAATCCCCAAAGGAAGCCACCAAGTATGGGGAGGGAAGGAGAGAGGGAGAGGAGGAGGGAGGAAGGGAGGGAGAGAAAGAGAGGTGGGGAGGGAAAGGAGGGAAGGAGAGAGAGGGAGGGAAGGAGGGAGGAAGGGAAAAAGAGGGAGAGAAGGGAGGGAGAGAGAGAAATTTGACAGGTGACAGAGTCAGTAATTAAGAGTGACAGGAGTGGACTCTAGCTCCTAGCTTGGGGGTTATTTTTTTGCCATTATGCTCTGTAATTGTTCATGAAGTGTGGGAAACATCTAATCCTTGACGTTTGAAGACAACTCTCCCAACAAAAGCATTTAAAAGTTTTTATCCCCTTGACGTAGACACTTATTCCTATGGTTTCTGGAGGCTTCATTCAGATACCCAATGCCTTTGATTCTTTTGTTCTATCAAAGGAAACGATTTCTGGACTGACTCCAATGCTGATAGTAAGGTCCCATAGAACCTGGACACTAAAGACTATTTCAGGGGAAAATTCCTAGTAAACTCAATGTGCTGGATAGCTTTAGTGTCAACTTGACACACCTGGTTGAGGGAGCCTCAATTGGGGAATTGCCCCCATAGGACTGGCCTGTGGCCATGTCTGTGGGGCATTTTCTTGATTGATGAGATGTGGGAGGGCCCAGCCCACTGTGGGTGGTGCCACCCCTGGGCAGGTGGGCCTGTGTTGCATAAGAAAGCAGGCTGAGCAGGGGCCAGGGGAGCAAACCAGTAAGCAGCGTTCCTTCATGGCCTGTGCTCCAGCTCCTGCCTCCAGATTCCTGCCCTGAGTTCCTACCTTGAGCTCCCTGATGAACTGTGACCTGGGAGATATCAAATAAAATAAACCCTTTCCTCCCCAAGTTGGTATTGGTCAGAGTATTTTGTCCCAGCAATGGAGAAACAACCAGGATACTCAATATTCTCACGTGTCTCTGATCATTCACAAACTGAATCCATTGTTTTTTTTTTTTACACTGAAACATAGGCTTGAATTTTTCTGTTCTTATTTTGACACAAATATTTCGGGGATTTAAGCTTTTTAATTTTGGGAAGTGGCATTTTGATGAATTCACAAACTAGAACAGAGAATAGTCACTCGGATCCAAAGTAGATTTGAATCTCACTTTCAATGCATTGTCTCCACAATTGTCAAGGGTTACAAATCTTTGTAGAAGACTCTGGTTTGGATAGTCAGAAACACCAACAAGATGAATCATTCTGTATCTCTGGTGAGAAAATCGGTGGGGACACCTTGACATGTCACCCAGTCAACCTCTATTAACACCAGCATGTCCAGACTCTGTAGATTGTCAGTAACAATGCTCTAAATGTCACGGGAACATAGTATAATACTGAGGCTTGTGGTACTAGACCAAAGATCTCATCCTGAAATGGCTCTGCTACCCTTCACTTGTGGAATCTCCCCGCCCCCAGGAAAACAATGCAGGGAAAATGCTTAGAAGAGACTGTAAGATCAGTTCACGTAGATTCCTGGTGAAGAGATCAACATGATCCTGAAGGAGCTGATCTCCAAATCTGTTCCGTGAAAACAAAGTGTAAATGAAGAGGTCAAAGGGGTGGATGGTAGTGGATGCTGAAGCATCCCATCTGGATTTCCCAGGAGGAGGCTATCATTTCCATCACTCTAGAGTACTGTAACTGATAGTGTGAGACTGGGCTGCTTTCTGAGAATTGCCCTCACAGAATTCCAAGTTCACACTCCTACCCAGATCCAGCAATGCAGATTATATTTCTTGCAGGACCTCGAACCTCTATCACTGTACTATGTCATCAGCCCTTTGAGGTAGTCTACAAAGACTTGGATGCTTTGCCTCAAGGGGGAACAAATCTAAAGGGTCTCCCAGGGGATCATGAGTGAGAACTCTGTGACTGTTACCATTCAGCTTCCTCTTTGTGCAGCAGTAATTCCTTAATTCCCCCATGCCACCCTAGAATGGTCGGATGTGTGCAGTGTCCTGGAGGATGACTCCGCATTCACACAGGTGTCATTTCCAACCCAATGCCCATTTCACCTTTTTTTCTTCCTTAAATTTTTTATTAGATGTTTATGTGTGTCTGTGCATGTAGAGGCCCAGAAGAATGTTTGATTCACTAGAGCTGGAGTTACAGGGGGTTGTGAGCTACCTGCTGTGGGTGCAGGGAACCAAACTCAAGTCCTCTGCAAGAGCAAGTGCCCTTAACTGCTGAGCCATCTCTCCAGACCTGTTTCATCTTTCAAAGGCCACGCCATTCACTGGTTCATCTCCAATAAAATTCCTGCACATAAACCTGTGTCTCAGAGAATGCATCGAGGGAACTCATCAGGAGACCATACATTTACTGTTTGTCTAAGAAAGGTGTCTCTAGCCAGATGTGGTGGCACACATGCCTTTAATCCCAACACTTGGGAGGCAGAGGCAGGCAGATCTCTGTGAGTTTGAGGCCAGCCAGGTCTACATAGTGAGTTCCAGGCCAGCTAGGGCTACAGGGAGACCCTGTCTCAAAAAGACAAAAAAAAAAAAAAAAAAAAAAAGGTGTCTCTGTTAAAAACAACAACAAAAAAGTGTATGGTAGGCTAAACTAAAAGCCATCAGAGAGAAAGGAATGGGGCAAAAGGCTTGATTTTGACAATTTGTCATTATGTCCATGTGAAAGCTACAGAAGGTCAAATAAATGTTTTTAAAGGCAGAAAGAAAGAAAGAAAGAAAGAAAGAAAGAAAGAAAGAAAGAAAGAAAGAAAGAAAGAAAGAAAGAAAGAAAAAGAACCACAAAAGAGCTACTCCATTGGATATGAAAACATGGTAGTTCACCTCTATCCCCCGCGGATGGAAGTGGGCACACCCCAAGGACAAACTGCTCAAACAGCCTTCCGATTTCTCTGGCAGTGGTATTGCTATCCCAAGGCCATCTGTAGCATTTTCTTTTTTTAAGTGAAGTGAATAATTATGGGCTAGGGCTATAGCTCAGTGGCAGAGTACTGGTCTAGCATGCACAAGGCCTTGGGATTTCATTCCCAGTATGGGGCAAGGCAGTCTTTAAATTATTTTAATGCCTTTAATCCCAGCATTTGGGAGGCAGCAACAGGTAGATCTCTCTGTGAGTTCGATGCCAGCTTGATCTACATAGGGAGTTCCAGGCCAGCCAGGGCTACATAGTGAGATCCTGCCTCAGAAACCAAACCAAACCGAAACAAAACAAAAAACACACACAAAATATTGTTTTATTGTCACTGAAACCTGAGTTTCCTAGCCAAGTTAAAGGGAGGTACTAATTTAGGATCATTAAAGTTAAGTAAAACCCTTAGGGCTTGAATGAGAATTGAAGAAAAAACATTTGATATATTTTATCTCTGGGGAAAATTTTTCATTTCTGTCCCCTGAAATGACCGAGACCCTGACTCATCCAGTGGCTAAAAGCATTCCTTCCTGCATGTAAAGTTTCTGGTCTTCAGATGAAATTCCCTACTTTAAGAACCAGGAATCTTTGAACTAATAATTAAGTGCAGGCCTGGAGCAAGAAACATAAAAAAATAACTTTTTAAACTAGAATAGGAAGCTACTAGCAATTATGAGGCCCGCGCCTAAAGAACACACAGGACCATCTGAACAAAGCTCTCATGGGTCAAAGACAAGGTGATTCTGAACATTAATAACAGTAACAAACCTCACCTAGTATATATATAAATCCATGTTCTTGATATTGGGCAAATAGCCTATTACGTAACCTTTTACCCAAAGAACCCAAGGAAACTCATAAAATGGATAAAGGAAGTAATGGAGAATGTACCCATCTGTCTGAAATATAACAGAGCAACCAACGTGTGATGATGAAAATGTCTTCTCACAAAAGCTAAGCAAAGGGACAACACAGGCTGTCATTTTACACTAACTAGATGTGGGGATGCTATCAAAGACTGCCAATGTCACACAGGCCATGTATGCCTAAAGGGAGTAGAACTGCATTCAGAGCAGTTTTTGAGGAATCTTATTTTTATTTATTTTTGTCTTTTTGAAACAGGGTCTCCCTGTAGCCCCAGCTGGCCTGGAACTGGCTATGTAGACCAGGCTGGCCTTGAACTCACAGAGATCCGCCTGCCTTTGCCTCCCAAGTGCTGGGACTACAGGCATGTGCCGCCACACCTGGCTTAATTTTTTAAATTTATTATTGAATTCCTCTGCAGCCTGAGCAGCTCCACGCTCTGCCCACACTGTCCCCATTCTAGCCTTGGGCCCAGGCCTGCAACTGTTCTTCCATTTCAGATCTCTGGACTAGCTTCCTAATGAAGACTAGCTTAATCCTCCAGTTTGGTTTGTTAGACCTTCCACAGGCTGCCCCCACCCCCACCCTACCCTTGGCTTCCTGATCTGCCTGCCACAGACCCGCCTACTACCCTGATGGAGGCTATTCCAGAGTTCCACAACTGGTCACACACAGAGAACTTGTATCTGAGAGATACCCAGTCCTAAGTGACATATCTACAGTGGAACCTCAAGACACCTAAGGCTCACAGAACACAGCAGAACAGGGGGTACAGAGAATACTAATACACCCCTCAACTCTTACCGGCAAAGCCTCCTCATACAATGGCGTGCAATGCACACAGAAGGCCACAACTGACTAGGTTTTGGAGAATGAAAGACTGTAGAGTCCATGTCCCTGGATAGGACTCCTATATGAAACCTCACCCACCATGGCTCAGGGACCATTTTGGAAGAGGGGGCAGAAAGATTGTGAGAGCCAGAGTCCGTGAATGAACATAAGGAAACTGGTTTTTCAGACCTCTGGGAACTTGCTCATATGAACTTGCACCAATGGTGATGGCATGCACAAGACCTATGCCAACTCAATCA